AGTTCGATCAGAATTCTAACAATTTCACCAAGCACCTACAAGGTGACTATCAAAAATCTATGTTTCTAAAAAGCACTTCAAACAAAGAAATTGAAGAAATAATTGCCTCTATGAAATCTAAAAGCAGCTGCGGAATCGATGGAATAAGTTCCAAACTTATTAAACACATTTCACATATTATTTCAATACCACTGTGCCATGTTTTTAATCTATCCTTCACATGTGGTATTATACCTCGTGAGTTAAAAATGTCACTAGTTACACCCATTTATAAGACTGGTGACAAAACCAAATTTACGAATTATAGACCTATCTCAGTCTTACCAAGTTTTGGAAAAATACTAGAAAAAATAATGTTTCAACGATTAACATCCTATATCACTAAACATGATATCCTCTATGACAAACAATACGGATTTCGGAATAAATACTCAACAAGTCTCGCAATGATTGATCTAGTTGACAAAATATCTACTGCAATACAAAACGGGGAATATACTGTTGGTATCTTCTTAGATCTTTCTAAAGCATTTGACACCGTAAATCATAAAATTTTATTGACTAAACTTCATCATTATGGAATTAGAGGTATATGCAATGATTGCTTTGCAAACTACTTGACTGACAGAAAACAGATAGTTAAATATAATGTAACTTACTCAACTGAAAAAACGATCAAATGTGGAGTTCCTCAAGGAACAGTTTTGGGCCCATTACTTTTTCTTTTATATATCAATGATATACATTGCTCTAGTAATCTTTCGTTTATATTGTTTGCAGATGACACCAATTTATTTCGTTCAGGAAAAGACCTGAAACAACTTGAAATAGAAATAAATCATCAACTTATACTTGTGCAAACATGGCTTAAGGATAATCAGCTTTGCTTAAATATTAAAAAGACTAACTACATTATATTCAAATCATTCAGGAAAAACATAACGCAAATCTAACCTTTAAGATTAATGATAAAATTATACAAAATGCTAAAGAAACTAAATTCCTTGGTATTATAATTGATGAACACTTAACATGGAAAAGTCATATTGATTACATAACTAAGAAATTATTAAAAATATCTAACATTCTTTGTAAAGCTCGTCACTACCTAAATAAAAAAACATCTCATAACTCTATATCATACTCTTGTTTACCCACATTTATATTACGGTAATATACTATGGGCTAGCAACTATAAAACAAGATTAAAGTCAGTATCAACGATACAGAAAAAGATTCTGAAAATAATATCATTTTTGCCTTATACTTTCTCATCTTCAACCCTTTTTTCAACGCTAGAAATACTAAATATTAATAAGATAAATGCTTTTCAAGTTGGCTTGTTCACATTCGACGCAGTAAAAAATACACTACCACCTCAATTTGATTCACTTTGCATAAAAAACAATGTTATTCATTGCCATAATACCAGAGGCTCTATGAAATTACACAAACACTACAATAAAACAAACTATGGACTGTATTCCACAAACAGATGCACAGTAGTGTGGAATATGTTGCCGGAATACATTAAAAATAGCGATAGTAAATACATATTTAAGTGCAATCTAAAATTATATCTTCTTTCTTCTGAAGATTATTAGTTGTACTCACAAAAAATGTAAACAAAAATAATTTTTAACTTTATCAAGTTAATTTGTATTAGTGGACCTCATATATCTTGAACCTGACATTATCTGACACTATTCTCCTTTGTTATATTAGTTTGTTCTTTAATTTTTTTAGGGTGGACTACTAGAAAAGCCCTGACGGGCTTGTTAGTCTTCCTTCCATATGAATTGTATCTTTATATTTTATTGTAGCTATATAATGGAAAAATAAAATATATATCTATCAAAAAAGCGGTATTTTTAGCATGCAGCATATTTATGTTAGGCTATTTATTTATATTCGCAATATTCGCAGTGTATATATAGCATATTCAATGTTGGATTGCATCTTACACTACACTACAAATTAATTTAGTGCACAATTGCTGCTGAATCCAGCGCAATCTGCTTTGCGTGCCGTGGTTTCCTTCTCTGTCTGCGGGCATTTCATAATCAAGTGCGGTGGCCAGCCAATAAACTAAGTGCGTCACATGCAGTCATATCAAAACAGACAAGAAGAATGGCCGCGCAATTACGAAACATGTTTTACTGTCAGTGCTACAACGATGTTCATCTTTGTTTTGTTTAAAAATCAAAATGCCTTGTATATAATATTGTACTTTATCATTGAATTGCGCCCTCCCCCCCCCCCCTGTAAATTATTATTATGTATATCTCCTGTGGTGCAAAATGCTCTAATTTGCATAAATTATGCACGGTTCCAGGTTCCGGTTCCAGGTTCCGGTTCCTGTATCGCTGTATCGTTGTATCGCTGTATCGCTTTTTAGTAGTAGCCAAACACAAGTGTTATATAGAGATTTTGGCCACTGAGAAAAATCGTATTTAAACACACGTAAAAAATACGATATTTTTACGTGTGAAAATATCATTTGTTGTAAAACGCATTGCCACGGACGTTTTATTGTTTTTCACTGAATTTTGTTTATATAATAAACAGAAGAATACAGGGGTGCTTGGAAATACCAGATTTATTTCTATTTCCCCGCACCCATGTATTATTCTCCATATATTAATTTCATAAAACATATGCAACTTGCGGGAGGATGGGGACATGAAGGACAAGAGCACGTCGTCTGCAACGGAAGAGAAAAAGCTAACAACTACGGCCTGATTGTGTATTTTTATGATACCTGTATGTGACATACACAACAGCCACATGGTTACTCCAAATAAACAGAAGATTACACTTTTAATCCCACTTAGTTAAAAGATAAATCATTTTTCTGCGTCAACACAGATTTAATATTCTCACCAGCGGTAGACAATCTTGTTCATTTTTGGAAAGCGGCAAATGACCAATTTCCGAAAATTCTTTTACAATATACCAGTATTGGGAATATTAAATTGGTGTGTTGAAATGTTGTGAACAAAATATAACGCAAATCACAAGTCAAAGAAAGACATTTATTGTAAGATTCTTGAGCATGTGACTCAAGACGTGAACTAAAGGGTGATCCTTCACTACTCCTTCAAATGCTGGAGCATAATTCCTGCATGTATAGATTTAGCGATAAACAATTGCGAACAAAAATCGTATAATTAACAAACAACAGTTGCAACCTTGCGCTCGCACTAATGGTTCGCACAATAATCGCACATGTTAATTCAATGTTTGGATAGATCACATCGGGGTTTACATGCGAGATTATATGTATTTTCATGTCATGAGAAAACTATGAGACATGCTGATTCTTCTACGACTTCATGCTGCTATGCATGCCTGAGCAGAGCATCGACTAAAGTCTTGCAGATCAATTGAAGTATACGATGCCCCATAAGATAGCGCTGTAGAAAACTACTTGGTTGGCTGCCTGGCTGGTCCCTAAAACATATATTTATTTATTTTTACCCTGGGATAGACCAATTTATCAATGAAATATCAAATAAAATTGTTCACTTGTTCGTATACTTCAATTGACCAAGTCTTGCTCTTGAACATAATTTTCATAGAACACGTTGACATTAGTCATTATACTAGCTATCGCATAGAAATGTGTAAAATATTCAAAAGACATTTATATGTCTTATATTACTGTAAGCCCAATATTAAATAACACAATGTCATTAAGTGAAATTCCTTGCACGCATATTTTGGATTCAATATAAACATTATAAGAGTTATATACGGAGGATGGAGGCTTTAAGGCAATTATAAACTGGCAATGCACTATAAGGGACGTTTGCCAGTTATAAGCAACTAGAACGAACCTAATTTAGTTTCGAATGTTTGAATAGAACCTATATTCTATAATATATTATATATTCAAGCAATTTATAGGTTTTAGTTCAATTATTTACAAACTTCCGTTTATTTATAATTATACCTGACAGTTGTGATGCATCTTCGCAAGTATTGTCCTTTGAATTCTGCTGGGAGTCGTCCATAGTTGTGTTGTAAATTGAAGGCATAAATTGTTAAAACGACACCAGTTAATAAATAGTCTTTAATAATAATCCTTCCTGTCTCCTGGGTCAACTGTTCTCACCCCTGCTGAGCGAGCTGGCATGGTGTTCATGGCGTCACGAAAGGATGTATCAGCCCACGAGTTATTGTTCATAGTATAATGACGATATACTGACACGACATTTTTAGCCCATTTTAACAAAGAAATCTTGTGGGACTAGTTCGAACATATTCATGAATATATAATATTGCTATTACTGAATCGCGGTCAATATTACCTACGTGATATATACCGCAGATGATAATCAGAATCACGTTTTGCATTTAACACGACAGATATTAAATTACATGAAAATTACTTATATGGCCACTGTAATAATGTATATGGTCACTGGCCCACTGTTGTGCACTGATAATTGTAAATTCAAGTTTATCCGGTGCGGATTTCGATTCTCGCGGGGGCAGGATTTTAAAAAGCATCTATAAAACCTAATTGAAATAAAATAAATTGACTTAATTATTTCTAAAATAGGAAAATAATGGTACATGTTTTGAATGCCTTGAATGAGGGTGTTGATGGGGTATATCGTGAGTCGTGATTTACTCAATTTCGGTTACCGTCAGAAAACACTAGCAATTTAGCGCGAATCGTGAGGGAAAAAATACTGTTTATCGTTTCAGAACACTTTTCAAAGATTTACCGTTAAAATACCAAAATGTTACTTATTGTTACCGTTAAAATACCAAAATTTTTACCGTTTACTAATTTTCAGCCCCCCCCCATCTAGATCCGTCTTGAATGAGATCATGAAAACACGACATTTTTCATCATCATCTATCAGGAATATCCTGTAACAGGAAACTTAATAATTGATGGAGAATTTTCCCTGAGTAATAAACTACGCATATTTTGATATTACCTAAAATATCAGTCAATTGGTTGAGCTCCAAGCGGTAAATGAGAAGGCTGACCGCGTAGAATAGCACGAGGAATGATGGAATGCGGAATGATATGCGAACGCAAATTTCGAGACATTTTTATTATAGATTAATCTATCACAGATTTAATTGCCTCACTATATATTTATTATTCGAATCTTACATGGCTTTTCATACTTTGTGGAATTAGGCAGTTTATCAGAAGGTAGCATTCCAGTCATATTTCAATTCATATAAATTCATCTTTCGCACTTTCGTCATTTAGTATTTTTGTATCATTTTATGATTAAAATGTACATAGATTGTTATAAAACCAGTTTAATTTGTCAGACGGTAGACAAAATATTATAGAGGATCAGATTTGAGTTCCACTACCGCTACCGCTACATGGCTTAGTACGCATCTGATTGGTTAATCGAATATATCAAACGCATCGGATTGGTTAATCGAATATATCAAACGCATCTGATTGGTTGATAGTCCATTAATGGTAGTGGAAGTCAAATCTCCTTATCACTCCAGATTCGGCCGAGTTGGGCAGTTTTCGACGAGATTTCGGGGGTTTGGGGTTTTAATGAGCTCGAGCCGCAAAACAGTTTTCAAGGAGAAGGACACACGAAGAGGCAGTCCAGGTATTAAAAACAACGAAACTCAGAGGGTTTTGGCACATAAGAGTATGAAAATTGGTATGAATCACTTTTTTGGAAAAATTCTCGCTAAAATCATTCGCTGAAAAAATTTGGGGGGATGGCTCCGGCAACTACCTCAGAGGATATAGCCTGCGGTGCAGACGCAATTTCCCGACCGCAACGCAATTAAGGCAGACGCAATTAACGTTTTCCCGCAACCTAACGTTTTCCCGTAATAGTACGTTGCGGGAAATTGCGTCTGCACCGCAGGCTACTCTGAGGACTGACTCGAAGCAATTAGCCGATGAACATGCAACATTGATTGTAAGGGTGCAATACTCAGGGGAGTCGATTGCATTTTGATTTTGGTCTTAAATAAAAACGTAAGAGAAATGTCGCAAACTAAAAGTGTCACGAAATATTGCCGCCAAATTTGCGTTAATTCGCACACTGTAAATTTCAAGGAGTTGAATCAACTCCAAAAGTGTTATTGTCAACAAACACGATGACAGAGACACTTTTGGAGATTAATGTTGCAACTCCTTAAAATTTAGACAGCAATTCTTGATTTAGTGCAAAGAAATCCATAACATCATTACATCAATGATGTGTATTCGACGGACTATCGACCATTGTCAGCAGGGTCTTAGCTAGGATTATAGATCTTGGGCGTGTTTCTAAATGACCAGGGTGTGCACATGTCAATAACCTTGAATAGCCAAATTAAAGGTTCTACAACAAGGGACAATATAGTTAGTATTATATATTATTATTATTATTTATTATTTATTATTAGTATTATTTTGTATTATTTAGTTAGTTATTCTGCAAGACTACGAGTCGTCTTACTCGGATCGCTTAAAGAAATTAAACTTGATTCCTATCTCATATTGGCTGGAAATAAAGGACATTGTGTTCTATTATAAATGGAAAGCGGGGCTGAATGATCTTGACATTGATAAGTACATCGAAAGACCTTGTCATCGGTCGACCCGTTCCAGTACTGCTGACTTTCTGTGTCCAAATCTATGTAGAACTACTCTCTTCAGGAACTCGTACTTCAATAGAATTGTGGTTCTATGGAACAGCTTGCCTAGTGATATTAAATCTTCTTCTTCCATATACGTCCTTATAAAGCTAAACTATATGAATATTACTTTAATAAACTGATTACAGTATTTGATGCAGATAGGTGTAGAACTTGGAAAACACTATGCAGTAATTGTAGATCACTGCAAATAAACTGCTGCTCGTAATACCTAGGTGCTCGTAGCATGATCGATGGGTTAATCTGTTATATGCTTAATATGCTCAGTTTTCGTTATAACTCTTAATACATTTTTTTTCTTCATATAAATTCGTCACAAACTGAGTTTCAATAGATTAACCATTCGAGCATTCTTCAATCGAGATTAATTTTTACTGTTGTAAATAGTTTTTATGTACGTCTGTATTTGTGTTGTCTTGGTGGGACTTAATTGGGAACTTCTGTTCCGTTGTCCTGACCTTCATCTTATTGATTGTCAAGTTATTAAATAATATTCCTGTGGTTGTTCTATGCTTTGCAACCAAATACAACGCGAGCATACGTTCATATTGCGCACTTACATTAAAATATTAAGTTATTTCAGTAAATCCTGGGGGTATTTAAAACCACTTTAATACTGTACGGTTTCCATTATCCATCAAAACATTTTAATGTTTTAAAAAACATCACGGATGACTTTTGCCAATTTCAACAAGAAGAGTAGATTTTACGAACTTTCTTACGACGTAAATAGAAAGAAATTCTGTCTGTTGTAAGTAGCACCACCTTACTTTATGAACCTACACCTAACACGATCTAATATAAATACTGAAGCCGCGTTCATTTTATCTAGCCGTGTTTTTCCATTTTTGGCCGCGATAACACGGCCAACATGGTCTTCTAGCTAAGACCCTGATTGTCAGAATGTTACAGGTAAACGACGTCAAGCGTTCCTCTTTGGAGTTTCTAAATTGATTGCAATTTTCCTCATTACCTTTGCAACTTAATAAACTCCCTTGCAAATCCCTTGGGGGAATTGCAATGTTGGTAAAAGCCAATTAAATTTTCCTCAGTTACAAGTTCTTAACTTCCTGTTACAAGTTCCTAACTTCTTGTTCTGTTCTGCGCGTTGCAATTGGCTAACAAAAATAATCCACCAATGACAACGCTCAGAAAAGAACAGGAAATCAGGAAATTAAAACAGGAAGTTATGAATATTTAAAATGAAGTTTTTTGCATTGCAACAGCCGATAGGAACATTGCAAATTCCCTCAAGGGATTTGCAAAGAGTTTTTCAAATTTGCAAAGCTAATGAGGAAAATTCCAAACGAGTTAGAAAGTCAAAAGAGGAACGCTTCACGTAGTTTACCTGTAATACTTGAGTGTATGCCACAAGCCATAGCCTATCGAAGAGAAGATGGCTGTGAAACTCATTAGAATAACAATATAATTCATTATCTATGTTAGTCAACGTTTATTCATAAATCTGGTCGTTCACCGTCACGTGCGTATTGTATTTTTGCCAAATCCACCAATAGCAATTTCCAATTTCCCCTATTGTTCGAGTCAGGGATAGGTGAGTTTCCTAAAACATTGCTATTGGTTAGTTGGGTAAAAATACAATACACACGTGACGGTGAAGGACCAGATTTTATGAATAAACGTTGACTAACATAGATAATGAGTTTTATTGTTATTCTAATGAGTTTCACAGCCATCTTCCCTTCAATAGACTATGCACAAGCATAGCCTCGATTTTTTTTAAAGGAGAATATTTAAACATCATGTAGGAACTGACGAATGAATACATTTCATAAAGAAATAACAAATTTGAAGCTGTGCGTATGAATGAATGAACAACTTTTTTTAATGAGGGTTACCACTAAAACAGGGCAAGCTGATAAACAAGGCCCTCAATGTATAATGGTATGCTCGGAAAGCGGGGGTGGGGAGGGGAGGAGCTTATAGTATTAGAAAGGATTTACGGTGAAATAATTTGCTATGGATGTTCAATCCCTAATACACACAAGTTCTCTCGATTTTCACGATAGCTCAAGTGCACATTTGTGACATTTATGTAAAACCTAAGACATAATCAGTTCAGGTAATAAGTTGTGGGAAAGGTATCTCCTCAGATTCAGGCACTTGTCCGTCATTGTGGTCAGTGGTATTACGCACACTCAGTAAAAATGATTCATCACTGTCGCGAAAGCTCTCATCACTATTGACCTGATGGTAGTCCACATATAACTTTGGTTTCCCGCTTACTGTAGGTAGAAATAGTGGTATACATAACGCAATAGAAATATGCCAAATACTGTGAAGATACTTGTAGTTAGCTGTTGTTTCAAGACCTGTGTAAATACCAACAGCAATCGAAGCCAGAACAAACCCAGGAAGAAAGAAAATCAACCATCTGAAAGAAAACAGTATCACCTATTATCCTCCTATTATCACCTATTATCCTCTTATCTTCCTATTATCACCTATTATCTTTATTGAACAATATTTTAAAGAAGCAACACAATCGCATTCTGTTTAAGGTCTGTTTTCATGAAACCAGATGGGAAGAAATCAACCGCCGATGAAAAATGCCTTTCGAATAACATCATATGTTGTTCATGTGTTGTTCATAGTTTGTCTGATGTAATTTTTACTCTTGCACGTCAGTTTTGTATTAAGTATACGTTGACTTGTGCATGTGTTTTGTGGTGATATTGACTTACTATTAAAAATAATCTTGCCATCATATGGCTGTTTCAAGTTCAACTATCTTCCCTCAGTAAACTGTTTTACTTGGCTACAATGGTCTCGGTGGTCGAAAGATTGAGCCTTATACAATTCCTACTTGCGAAAGAGAGATTATCAATAACTTTATTTCATGTTTCTGTGTTTAGAACACTGAGATTGCTTCATTCAAGAAAAAATCCTCTGAGAATAGCTTTTATGAGCAGTTACGGAACGACCCAATAGTTCACCATACAGCATAAAACTACATTTTAACCACAATCCATCGACAACAAAATCTTTCTCATGTTTTTTTTTGAATTAGTATAACCATGTATTTCAAAACATTTTACGTACCTTTTCGGATTAGGGAAACACTTTTTACGCTTGTGACATCTGTATCCCTAAATGGCAGAGACACTTTGTCATATCTAAATACAGCAAATCCTCCACCGTAAAATAGACTTAATAATATTTCATTCAGCCCACTAACATGAACTTGCAAGACAATACACGCTTCCGGAAACTACGTCACTTTGGCTATAGAGCCTCGTTTTCGTGAGTGAGACGCTTGGATTGAACTATTCTCACATATACGAAAACGAGGCTCTATTGCCAAAAATGTTATACTTCCTTGAAGGGTGTATTAATAAATCTTAAGTCTGAATCAAACGAGGTTGTTCATGAGCGCTAGCAGTCACCCAATCCTGGCTACAGCTGTTCCAACACTATTATGTATTCTATTTTGAGTTAAACTATAGTTGGAAGACTCATCACACCTTTATGTTGTTAATCTAGAGCTTGGAATGTCTCCGTAACAGAACTAGCTCAATAAACGTAACAGAACTAGCTCCGTAACAGAACTATAGCTCAATAAACGCACCCCGAATTGGTTTATGCATATGAAACAATGTACTGAGGTATGATATTGTCAAGGCCGACAATATTATCCTATCAACGTTCCAGTCTCTTATAATGAATTGCCAGTTTCGACATTGAAGCATTATCTTATGTGCACTCAAAGTGTTATATTTTGCGAACGGTCTGTGTCAGTGTGGATAGTGCGAGTAAGAAAGCTGCGGATTGATAGAGATATACAACTACCTGAAAATACAAGCAATGGACCAATCCCCAATGGACCATTTGCATTATAGACTAAATTTTGATCTAGACAAAAATTTCATCACAGCTTGAAAGAGGATCACAAATTTAGTAATATTCCAAAGTTTCGTTGCGAAATGTTGTAAAATGGGGATAATATAGCCATGCGAAGTTTGCCGTTTTTAAGTCATTTTGTATTACGCACGGGAAATTGACAGCCCAATCGGGTGTTGGGGCATCAATTTCTCGTTTGTAATACAAAATGACTGAAAATTGCAAATTTCGCAAGGCTATATCATCCGCATTTTACAACATTTCGCAACGAAACTTTGGAATATTACTAATTTTGTGATGCTCTTTCAAGCTGTGATGAAATTTTTGCCTAGATCAAATTTTAGTCTATAATGCAAATGGTCCATTAACCAAAATTTTGATCTCAACAAGTCTATAGACAAAATTCCATCAAAGCTTGAAAGAGCATCACAAAATTAGTAATATTCCAAAGTTTCGTTGCAAAATGTTGTAAAATGCGGATAATATAGCCTTGCGAAGTTTATAATTTTCAGTCATTTTGTATTACGCACGGAAGTGGTAACCATTTCCCGTTTGTAATATAAAATGACTGAAAATTGCAAATTTCACAAGGCTATATTATCCGCATTTTACAACATTTCGCAACGAAACTTTGGAATATTACTAATTTTGTGATGCTCTTTGAAGCTGTGATGAAATTTTTGTCTAGACTTGTTGAGTTCAAAATTTTCATTAAAGGACATTGGCAACCAAAATTTTTATTACTTGTATCTATTAGGTATACTTACGGAATATTTAATTTCATATTTTGGCCGGTTTGTCGCGTTTAGTTGCTGAGAAAATTTGATTGAATTTGAGAAAATTTGAACAGTTGTCCGCCATTTTGAAAATAAGCGCGTATGCTAATTTATGCCACAAAATACATTATCTGACGTCATTGGCTGGGTAAACACAATCTCATGACTATAAACAATACCGTGTATTACCACGCGTAGTGCATTTTGAGCCAAAGCAAAAGGCAGAAAAGTTTTGCCAAGTATGTAACTTGTTTGTAACACTATTTCTCATGGTATATATCCTACTCCGTGTTAAATAAGCGCAGAAATTCAAGTGTAACAAGGCAAATACTAATGCAATATTTTATGATGAATTACCTGCATTGTAAATTGCGCCATTTCTTGCTTTCCCAGTCGCTCGATATGTTTTTATCTGATAGTGTAGACTTCTCTTGTTTGATTGCGAAGAGTGTTGGCCAGTATAACGCTCAAAACGACATATTTTTAGCTAACATAACACGCACACAAAGTTCATTGACCTTCGAGATAATTTTTCAAAAATATTTTCCAAGATGGCGGCGAAACTGGCCGAAACACAAAGTTTGCATGCATTTTACTCGTAGACTAAAATGTTCAAGAAGGAAATGATATTATTTTTTATCAGTGATGAAGCAATCTGATTGGCTGAGGAGCCTTTCAGAGCGGGCCGGTTTTTTGCATCCGGCCCGCTCTGAAACGCAACTGCCCGCTGTGAAATGCAACTGCCCGCTCTGGTTTTCGCGCCAAAAACCGAGGAGTAAAACATTTTTTAAACGAAAAAATCTGCCAAAAACGTTTGAAAATTACAGCCTAACGATAGTCAGAATACGAAAATAAATTGCATCAAGCCCTAAAGACTTCATACTAAGCACGATGTTCACTAGAATTGACTTACCTCGAGAAAACTATATATTTTTTAAATGCTCATGTATTCGGCCACTTAAAAGCTAAAAAATTACAGCTGAAACAGATATTGTAAAATAAATGTCTTCCCATTTAAAAGAAGGTTTAACTGCAGCAGTGAAAACAAGTCACGAATAGACCTTATTCATAAATCGTGACGAGGCCTCGTTCCTAGGATACGGGAACAAAACGCGGGAAAACAAGTGAAAACTGCTTGACAAGCAAAATTCAGATGCTATTGTGTCGACTTTAACGGCTTGTTTCTTGTTGCATTTTCGATTTATAACGATTTTTGTGTGCAGTTTAAGACTTTGTTCCCACAACGAAAGCGATAAATGAGTATATTATAAAAGCGACCGGTTTTTCTCGCGTTTTTGTGTGGAAAAATGACAACGTAGCGATGGTGTTTATCCAGAAGCGAAGAACAGTATTTTACTGAGATTTTAACGTTAATATAAAGGTTATTCCGTGAAAAATCAAGACAGCTATGGAATAAAAGTATAATTTTTCGAATTTGACATTAATATGAAAGAAAACAACAGGTCAAAAATCACAAGAGAACGTCAAATGTTATTGATTCGTACGGAAAAATATGAACTATGGCTGTGGCTCGATAACATCTGCAAGCAGCTTACAAGTTTAAAAAATGAAGGCTACATTACCTGAGTGAGTTGTAATCCTATTTCTTCAACAATAATTTCATATTTCTTACGATTTTGGTGTTGTATAGACGTTTTGTAGCCTTGTTGGTTGTTTGTTTTGGCCATACAAACTACGACAATAATACAAAGTCAAAGGTTTCCTTTTTTGATTGACTCCAGCATAGATCTTTTGCTTTAAATATCATGTTATATTTTCTCAGAAGTATTTTTTTCAACTTTCAAGCTCAGTTTTATAGATATATTTTCGAAAAAAGCCGTAATATTCACGAAAAAAAGCTGCCATAGCCGACAGCAAAAAAAAACATTTTGTTAATTTTCCCGCGTTTTGTTCCCGTTTCCTAGGATACGAGGCCTCATCACGATTTATGAATAAGGTCTATATATTCTCTATTTCTCTGCCCATTTGTGTCATGCATTTTTCACTGATATAAATATTGTAAACAAAGTAAAAATTTGTTTTTAAAAACACTTTTTTCAAGCATATTATCGTGAAACGACAAGCAAAAATATAAAAATAACATACCTTTTTCATTGTTTTTTTAGTAGAAAAACGTTGATTAAATCAAAACAGATTCATTTTTATGTGTTTTTGATCGGATCTGAACATGAACCTGTCGTTGTCAGGAGCAACTGATTTTGTCAAAGCCAAAGCCAAAAGCCAGGCATAAAACTTTTTATTCCAAATCTTCTCTGCTACCATATTCATGAAAAAAGCATGTACATTTTTACTGAAACTATACGTCTTTTTGTGTGTTTCTTGCCAGTTTTCTCGAGTTTTCGTATTCGTGTTTTATATCTTTCAACCATAGGCAGCCCAGATATGTGTGTTGATTTTATTCTAGTTTCTGAAAGTGAAATAGCTTTAACACTCGCGCGTGGAAATTATCACGGTCGCGTGACGATCGCGTGGGCATTGTCATCATGATGATTCACCGTATATATATATTACCAAGGTAGGCAAGCTAATTGACTGGAAAGACACACACATCGCGAGAACATCAAAATACGCGACTTTTTACATGTAAAACAACAAAAAAACTGCAGGAACTTTGAAAACTGATAACTACTCTACATTAACCCAAACTAAAATGTTTATAAATGTTACCGACAAACGAGTAAGGAGCAAAAGTTTCCGAGTTTTTAGCCGAAATGTTTTTGTCCAGATGCGGGATACTTGTAACGGGTATGACGCTATTGAAAATGCAATCCTACTGGTTAAAAAAATAAACAAACTTTCTCGTAGTTTTTAACATCAGGGGGGGCGAACGAGAAATATTTATAGACAGATACCTAAAAGAGTTTTTAGAGAAATACAAGCGAGGAAAAAAATACGAAAAGCAAAACTTTTGCGCAGAAAATTATCGCTAGGTAAGTGAGTTTCAATATTTTTGTTTTGCGAAATTTTTCGCCAGCTCATTTTATAAATTAAAAGTGTTTTTCGTCACGTTATATATTAAACTTTATACATACAAAATGAGAAAAAAATACATACTAATAAAATAAATGTATTGAAATATAAACCATGCAGATAGCCAAAAAAGTCGTCGTTGAAGACCAGCTATAGCTAAGGAAAACATGTGAAAGATTTTTAGCTCGGTAAGTCAATTTATTTTTAATGTTTTTCAGTCTTGCAACATTTTTCGCAAACTCACTTTAAAATTTATAAATTGTAAAAAGTATTTTTCGTTCCGCTATAATACCTTATACACACAAAATGAGGAAAAAATCTATGCTAATGAAATAAATGTATTGAAATATAGACCAGATAGTCAAAAGAACCGTCGTTGAAGACCAGCTATATAGCTTAGGAAAGCATTGTGAAAGATTTTTAGCTCGGTATTAAAGTTACCTTATGTTAGTTTCAATGTTTCCCTTTGCGAAATTTTTCGCAGCTGAGTCATGTTTCGTCCCGCTTAAATTAAATGCCTATGAACTATAAGTTGCCAAACAAAACAAAATAATATATTTTGAAGACCATCTATAATAGCTCAGGAAAACATGTGAACATTTTTAGCTCGGTATAAAGGCAATTTATTTTCATGTTTCTCAGTCTTGCAACATTTTTCGCAAACTCGCTTTAAAATTTATAAATTGTCAAAAGCATTTTTCGTCTCGCTATAATACTTTACACACACAAAGTGAGGAAAAAATTGATACTAATGAAATGTATTGAAATATAGACCAGATAGTCAAAAGAACCGTCGTTGAAGACCAGCTATATAGGCTATAGCTCAGGAAAGCATGTGAAAGATGTTGAGCTCGTTACATTAACTTTAAGTTAGTTTCAATGTTTCCTAGTTTACAAAATATTTCGTATCTGAGTTATTTTTCGTCCCGTTAAATGAAATGCCTATGAGCTAAGTTGCCAAACAAAACAAAACAATACGATGACTTATCAATTTGCCTTCTCTCAGAAAGATTCAAGTTGCCGAGTTCTTATGGAAACCAGTGCCGTTGGTGATAGCTTTTGCAGTGCAAACGAGCTTTTTGTTTGGTAAGCTTATATAACGTAGTAAACATACTGAAAACAATTTAACATGAATGTTGGTTGTAAAAACTTTGTTGTACTTACCTGCTGAATGACTGATGGAGTGATGAGCAAAATTTGATATTTAGGCTAAGTAGGACAGCAAATAGTTTTATAGTTCCAACCTTCTAAACTCCCGCCGTCAAAAACTTTTCATTTCGCCACATCAATCATCAGAACACATCGTTAATACAAATTCTCCACTCCAGAAAACAATTACAATGCCCAAACAGCGCTTTCAGCAAACCACAGAGTTGTTTTTTTGCTATCCAAACAACTCAAAAACAAACTAAAAGAGTACATTGAAAAGTGCATTAAGACGTTGATAAAACGCTAAAAAAACAACAAATAATTGCTTTTCTGGTACAAAAACATGTGCCTTACCTTAATGGTAAAATACTGATTGTGTAGTTGTGTAAAAACGGTATAAATATTTTAGTTTTTACGAACATTTCGAACATCTTCAAGGCATGATAACTGTCAAATGATGCATGCTTTCTGACCTTTGTCTGTCAAACCTGTTTGACGAGTTTTATTGGCCAAATAATAGAATAATTAATAATGGTCAGTAATTTGGTCAGTTTACTTCCGGCTTACTTAATATACTGAACTGTACGTAGTTCAAGTTAAATAACGAAAATTATTTTATATTTATTGGCATTACAATATTTATCACTTATTTACTGAGACCGAGGGAAACAGAGTGTTTTGTGGATCCGAGACCGCCGTTGTGGCCCGAGGCGAAACAGAGGATAACAACGGAGGTCTCGGGTCCGGCCACAAAACACACTGTTTTCCAAAGTGCCCTTTTTTTCGGTGGCAAAGTGCCCTTCTGACTACGTGAAAAATGTCGTTGAGATCGCCGTTTGCCTCAATAGCCTTTGATTTATGATCGCATTTACTTTAGTATTTTGGTATGTCCGGAAAAATTTTTTTATTTTCGGAAAAAATAATGCCATGTCCGGAAAAATTTTGTTATTTTCCGAAAAAATAATAGTGTGTCCGGAAACATTTTTTGAGTTCATTTCCCCCTCCCCCGTCGCCAAGATTTCAAGGGGAAATTTTTTAGGCGCCCTTTTCTTTCGAAAAGTGCCCCTCGAAACCGGTGCGTAACCGGCACGTGATACGGTTTTAACCAATCGGCAAGCGGAAAAATTGAACTTTGACACTATCTATATAACAATTTGTGTTAGTTTGACCAACGTCCTGGTCATACAAAAAATACGTACATATTGACAATCCTGTCAAAATGTGCATGACGGCATCACCTTGCTCATACTTTTCCAGCATAGTGAAAGCCTTAGTTTTTAGAATAAGTATCTTGACGTGTTAACATTTCCCTGAAAGAAAACCTGTTAACCTGACATTTATATGATTTGATTTTATTGATCTTAAATATATTATAATTATTTTAGGTTGCTTACTAATTATGAGTTTGACGAAGATGCTTCCCTTATTACAACACAGTCTGTTTTGGAAGCAGCGTTAAGTGAAAACAAGAGAGCTTCGTCACGCTCTTTAGGGAAGAATATTAGTGAAATTTGGCAAGGAAAAGTTATTCGAGAATATTCTCTGAGCAACTCAGCATACATTTATCGGCACCTAAAAAAACGCCCCTTGGTTAGTTGTGCAACAGTCTTAACAGCTTTCAACGACGCAACTGTAAAGAAATTCCAATCCATATGTATCGCTTACCCAGGATGGATTATTAACTCTAATTGTTCTACTCAGAAGTCGTTATCAATTTTGAAAATTTTCTCGTCTGACGGAGAAGCTACAACAGTTGATGGTCGACACATGACATTCGAGCTTCTTGTTGAATTGCCTCCAAATCCGAAGCTGATACTTAAGAATCTGAGCACTAACGGACTTGCAACTTCTCTGACTGATGTCAAAGGACCCCATGGTACAGAGTTGTGTTTTCGTGATATCGATAATGTGATGCGTCTTGTAGAGTTTGCAGTACCTTGTTTAGGTCATGCCATTTCCGGAAACACCACCACCAACTTCCTGAAGTTACCAGTTTCCTCATCAAGAGTTATTAGTGCTCATTCCAAAGATCTTGGAAATCACGAGAGGCTGGTTTCATCTTCCTGCTTACTCTTAACCCGTCGTGGTTGTAGTTCATGCCAAAATTGCGCTTATGCATTAAAGCTGTTTCAAAATCGAGAAAAGAAACGAAAGGCGAGCATTTCGGAAGACGCGAATAAGAAGAAGTGCAATATTCGATATTTGGATCGATTTGGGTTGGAAGCAAAAATTGCTGCCCAGCGGAGAAAGGCAGAGTGCAATGGTAAAAATAACGGGCACCGAAAGGAAGATGACTGCATGATAGAGTTTGTCGAAGATGATGACGTAGATCTACAACAAATTTTCAAGAATATCAAGAGCACCCTAGTCCCACCTGATATGCAACTCCTGTGGAATGAACAAATGAAACAATTGTCCGCCAAATCAGCAAAGGCCTACAGATGGAACCCAAGGTTAGCAACTTTGTATGTTTTAAATTACTGCCACGTTGCTGTTTTAATATATACAGAATTGTTTGTTGGTGCCGATGTCAAACAGCCATTTTATTTTTGTATATTTTTATGGCTCAATTTGTTTTCCTTAGAGTTGTGCGATTTGCGTTGGATCTATATTGCAAAAATCCCAAGGCGTTGGATTCGATGCGCGAATTTGTCATTCTTCCGAGTAACCGTCTTATAAGGTAATTATATATTGTACTAATTATATTACTATTATAGAGTAAGTGCATTCTGACGACGTCGTCTTGTTTTGCAGATACTATAAGAATTCTGTTGATCAACAGCCTGGTTGGAATACGGAGACTATAACCTGGTGTAAAAAGGAAGCAGAACGACAGGACTTAAAACCGGACGAATACTGGGGAGGTTTCGTTCTTGATGAAATGAAATTACAGGTTGGTTGAATTGATGAATTTTAAAGTAACCGTGTAAACGAGAACAGTGGGGGAGGGGGCAAAGGGAGTGATGCTTCCGAACGCAATCGACCATCTTCTTTATATATATTCAGGAAGATCTGCAAATGACAGTTAAGGGTGGCCGTCATCAACTCACGGGGATGGTTTCACTTGGTAAATTTTACAACGACATGAGAATGATTGAATCTGGTAAGGAATGCAGTGGATAAAAGTGGCCAGCTACCAAATGAAATATTAAATATGTATCAATTCTAAGTATATAATTATCATGATCCACACGTAGTTGTACGTTATAATGTTAATCATTCTAGACATTCTTGTGTTTTGCAGGAAAATCGTCCATACAAGTCGCAACGCATCTGCTACAATTTATTTTTGTTAGCGATAAAGGATTCAGGTTTCCGATAGCACATTTTCCAACCACTCAATGTCCAGCTAGCGTTTTGTACCTTCAATTTTGGGAGGGAGTGATGCGAATGAAAAGAGCAGGCTTCACGTATGCATTCTTTTAATAATAAAGAGGTTTAGAAAAGACGACGCGACGTCAAGGACGACGTGAAAATGGATGTGCATACGATGTCATTTTCACGTCGTCTGTGACGTCCCGTCGTCTTTGCTAAACCTCTCTATTAATATCCATTACATAGTTTGTACTATGCAATAAATTTCTATTTGTACGTATTGGTATAATTTTTGTCTCTTTCTGTTGGTATTTGTAGCATTTATTACGCTCTGTGCGATGGTGGAGATTCAAACAGGCAGTTCATTAAAATACATTTTCCAAACTGCAATCCCAGTGACTTGCACTTCGTAGGATACAATATGCTAACGGAAGATCCCATGATGTTTATAATGGATTGCAAGGTAAATTTGTTGTGCATTGTGTACTCTACACCTGGGGAAGTGCACACTTGTGTCGCCCAGGAAAAAAGATCTGGCATTTTAAAACTCCGATACTTCAGTACCCGGAGTAATAACCAAAAAATTACAGGTTACTGTACGTTACAAATTATCAATATTATCTATCTACTTACAGCATAACTTCAAGAAACTAAGGAATAATGTAGAGAAGAGTTCTCCACATGATGGAACAACTAAATGTTTGACCAAAGATAGTAAGAACATTTTCTGGTCCTACTGGAAGGATGCGTATAGTTGGGATCAGACAAATAATTCCTGTCCCCTCCATGAAAACTTAAAAGAAGACCATTTCCATCTCACTCCGAGTTCTAGAATGAGAAACGGTTTGGCAGAAGATGTTTTGAACAAGAAGATGCTTTATCTAATGAAGGTATTGTTGTTTTTTGCTTAAATTATATAGAGCAATATTGAAATTATGGTTTATGGAGCCAATGAGTATTGCAAGTATAGATTAGTGGAATTTTCACTAAGCAATTCTCCTGTTCATTTATAGGCTTATAGAGATCACATCGCCACTATTCCAGCAGAAGACCCAAGTAAACTTGACGAGACAATTGCCTTCTTGAAACACACGAGCCTAATGATCGAATTGTTTTCCGATAAACATGCGATTTACAATGTGGATGATAGCCGACTGCACGACCTGCAAGCTACACTTCTGTTTTTTTCCTCATGGAGTGAAGGGATAACTAGCAATGATCAGTTCATATCCGATAAGCTATGGTTTGATCTGCAGTCCATGGCACACGGGTTTATTTCGATGGTTCAGACGAAGTTAAGACGATTTCCTGGGTCAATCGTCAAACCAGCCATAGTGAATCAAGACGTGGTCGAAAATCATTTTTCTCAGTTGAGAGGGGCTAATGGTCAGAATGATAACCCCACCTACCAGACTACACAAGGAACGCAGAACTCCATTATCTATGGACAAACAACGATCAGCAGAAAAACCAACACGGGCATCACAAAAAATCATTCGTTTGCTGGTTTTCCCAAAGAAAATATATTTGGGGGAAAAGGACATACCCAACAATCTAAAAATGCAGTAGGATTGCTTAGGGAAAAATGACTACAAATCAAACGATGGGTTTAAAGATTTGTTTCATGTAAGACCAAATGAAATAACAAATGTTAAACACAATAAATTATTATTATGTACAATAAATTAATATGTGCTATAGGCGTACGAGGCGGGGAGCAAGAGGGTTACAGCCCCCCCCCCCCAATAAATTTGATAGAGATGACAAAGTCGGACGATAGACAATTCCAGATTTTAGTTTAGGCGTGAAAGGGAGGTTGGGAAGTAAGATACCTTACTTCCTGTCACCCCCTGCGCGCATAAATTAAAAGCTATAGAATTGCCAATTTCTATCCTGAAAGTCGGCCAATTTGCCAATAGAAATGGTAGCGAAATTTTTCGATTCGCCTAAAAACCCAAATTTTCAAAAATATGGGTGCTCCAATTTTTAAACTTTTTCCGCTCAGTTGGTTCGGAGCGAATTATCAAAAGTTCCTTACACATACATAAAGGCATTGGAACGATTTGATTGTCCCTTACGAAATGTATATATCCTCAATAGTCAACTAAAAAGAACATTCCAGGCATTTTTGTCTTCGCCCCTCCACATTTCCGGCAGTAGTATTCGGCCGCTTCCGAAATTACTTGGCCCGTATGCCTATGACGTCTACAGAAAAAACTGCTGGTCAACTTTCCAGCAATACTGTTTTCTATGTAATTAAGAATATATATGTCAATTATTTGAACATGTCTATCGTTCAAATTATAAATATACCATTCACACAGTGGGAAATGTCTCTTCAATTGTTGGAATATTAAACAGACATTGATATAAATATTAATTCTATTTGAAGTTATAGTCTACGAATCCTCAGCACAGGAACTCTACCAGCATTCTGTTGAACTAGATTAACGGCATACGTTGATGTTATTTGATGACATGGGATGGCATCGTATAGAGGGATTGATATAGCAAGTTCCGAGGCCAATTTCACTTTATTCCATCTCGAAACCCAACGGACGTTGTACGCGTCGCATAAATGATGTAAATCATTTTTCTTGTAGAGGCGTTTTAATCCGCCTTCGCCCAATTTATTTACAAGAGCCAGAAGGCGTACGTGGGAGACTTTCTTGCTTGCACTGCGATCCTGCTCGATTTCTGGAAGATGGACTTTCATCTGGTTTTCTTCGGCCTTTTTCTTTTTCTCCATCACTTCCTTTCGATGGGCGAGAGATTTCTTCACGTGAAAATCCCTGCGAAAATCGCGTAGAGATTGCCCAGCACCCATTTTAAAATACCTTTCGATGACTTCATTGTACATTTCAACAATGATATCCTGTCAAAAAAAGATTAATATATTTACTATACGGCAAGGCAATCTAGATTTCGCAGCGCGTGGTTGGTTTATTTTCCTTTTACGAGTTTGCAGTCTTTTTGTTTTAACATTGCAAAACGTTACGATAGGACATATACCCGTTAAAAGAAATAAAAGGAAAAGTAGTAAACGAGACGTTATAAAAATAATATTATGCATATCAGTGCATTAGTCATCAAATCACTCAAGTCCGCTCGACGAGAGAATTTTACTAATCGGCCCTCGTTGAGCGGGTAGTTTCATAATTTATAAACCAGATTTACCTTGTTTTTATTAGCATCAATATTAAACAACGCTGTAAACGCTGTTTTCAGAGTGGTATTCTTCAACGCCTCTGCGATTGAATCATCCACCAGGTCATGTTGCAGACATGACAATCTTTGCACATTTATTTTGTTGATACGTTCTTGTTCTAACGCCAGAAAAAATCTGAACGCATCATCTTTGATGTGGATGAGTCCACGCCCTCTGTATTGTCGAGACTCAGTTAGGTTAAGAGTTTCCTGATTGGCAGATGAATGGCGGACTGCTTCGTGAGTGATCACTACGTTGTTTTCCAAAAGCTCGATTCTCTTCATCCTTTCGTTGATCTTGATGCGTACGGTAATCGATTCTGATAATTTGTTATCGACGACGTAGCTTCGTGCTTTGTGCATTGCTTTGCTGATGACCCATCCGCCGATGTATCGCACTTTTCCACGCCCCTCTGGCCCCATTTCATGCACATTGAAGTCGATTGGTACCGTTTCTTCTTCCTTTCGCACACGTTTTCCTAATTCCTCTCCAAATAGTTGGAATAAATGGAAGACAAGTAGAGCACTCACACTTCTTTTCCCGTCATCAATTTCTAACCAATTTGTTACATTGAATGCGCTGATTACATCGCTGCGATATTCTTGCGATAGGAAAAGATGCTGCAGTTTGGATGTGGCACAAGTGAAGTCTTTGTTCGTCATTTGCATCTCTTCCATATTCTCGGTAAAGTAATCCTCGAACAATTGGAAAATCCTGCACCACAATATCAGAGTTAATAATTCAAAAATTTCTAAGTTATTAACCCCATATTTTGCTGCGGATTTGACTGCTTCGCTGTAGGAATCTTCGTTGTTGTCATTCATTACATTCTCTAGGAAGGTCTTAACGGTGAATGATGAAGGAGGTAGGGATAGTTCATCGCTGAAATCTGACATGCAGAGTAGGACATCTTCGAGATTCACAGGGACCCCACCATTTGACTCGAAGAACTGAGAAGCAGAAGAGGGAAAGTCATCATTCACCACAACGTCGTGGTCCATTTCGTCAGTTTCCTTTTCGCGTTCCTCATAACATTCGAACCAATTCTCCTCCAAGTGCATGGCAGTGCAGCAGCCAACATTCGCGTCTACATCTCCCATCTGATTAGTCACCAAGCTCAATAGCTCATATGGTGGTGGTAACAGGTAGCTTCTTCTAAAACCAAGAACTTGCAAAGTGGCTTCTGTAGTTACTCTCGAAAGTGCAACATAAGTTTGTCCCGGGACAAACTCTGGCGAACAATGTATAACTGCACTATCTAAGGTCAAACTTTGCGATTTGTGTACGGTTATCGCGTAGCAAAGTGAGAGGGGAAACTGTGTACGGCTGCCTTGTACTCTACCAGTGATGTCATACTTATACCAGGTTCTACGAGAAACAGCTACATGTCCAACATTTGGAAAATTGACAAGCAGACGTTCTTCGTTGTCCGGATCTACGCCAACGTACTGTCCCCGATAACCGTTTTTCAACACGTCGTTGATGTTGTAGACTAGCATCACTCTGCATCCTGGTTTAAACGCGAGAACTTGACCAACGGTTTTCTCTAAAAATCGACCATTACCAGTGTCCTTGCTTTCAAACGTTGTTAATTCTCCTGGCAGACTTGCCAAAACATTTAAGTTATGTACTTCAACAGGTAGTCTCTTGAAATAGATATGGCTGGGCTCTACAACATCATTCGAGCTCAACTCTCTTTCCAGATATTTGAAATATTCCTCCACCTCGTCACTGCATAGACCTTCTCTTATGTTGTCCAAGGCATTCTTCAGTTTCTCTTCTTCGTCCCGTTGCCTTAACACTCGCTTCAACTCAACACGATGTGGGAATACTTTATCAAAAAGTTCCGAGGTGTAGACTGATCTTCCTGCATCAAGGGGACTAGGAATTGGCTTCAGTTGCCAGAAATCGCCGACGAGAATGAGCTGTATGCCACCGAATGGGAAATCATTGTTTGATAAGCGATGGTGTATTGCATTTACAATGTGAAAAATTCGTTGACTTGACATCGATATTTCATCCATATAAGCACTTGCGGTTGGATGACTTGCTCAACGACATTTTTCCTCTTCATGGCTCTTTCTAATAAATTGTTGGCTGGAAGTTCGGCCGTTTGTAAACCGTATTGAGAATGTACAGTCTTCGCCATACCATGGTATGCTTCACAGGATATTCCACTGGAGCAGACAATTTGACATTTCCACCCTTTTGCAGTTAAAGACTTTATGATCTCTTTGACCACTGTTGTTTTTCCAACTCCTGCCTTTCCAAAAATGCACAAATTATGTCCGGTTCTGGCAAAATTTACAACTTCTTCCTGTTCCTTCGTTAATTTGATCTGCACATCCATACTAGCAAGCTGTCAGTTTACGCTACAATACAAATGAAATAAACGCGATGTCATTTATAATACAAATACGTTATAGTTTTGAATGTTCGCGCTCTATTTAAAGCTGTTTCAACGATTGGTTAAATAGGTAAATTCTAAATTTTCACGGATTTGTATGACCTTCATTTCCGGTGCGCGTTATATCACAATCCTTGGGTCTCATATGACTGGTAATCGCGGAAAAAGTTCTGGGACATTTTGTTTTCTGAAAACAAAACGTCGACCTCCCCCCGTCGCCAATATTTTCCAGAAAAATATTTGCTTTCCAGAAAAAATTTTTTGAGGGGGCCCCGGTCGTGAGTGTATTGACCCTTATGCTGTGCGGAAGCAACGAAATGTATTACCCACCAGAAACAAGTTCAATACATATATGATATAGTAAACAAGCAATAACTGTGTTTTGTATGACGTAATACCAAAACATTTATTTACTGAGACTTTGGAAAACAGTGTGTTTTGTGGCCGGACCCGAGACCTCCGTTGTTATCCTCTGTTTCGCCTCGGGCCACAACGGCGGTCTCGGATCCACAAAACACTCTGTTTCCCTCGGTCTCAGTAAATAAGTGATAAATATTGTAATGCCAATAAATATAAAATAATTTTCGTTATTTAACTTGAACTACGTACAGTTCAGTATATTAAGTAAGCCGGAAGTAAACTGACCAAATTACTGACCATTATTAATTATTCTATTATTTGGCCAATAAAACTCGTCAAACAGGTTTGACAGCAGTGCTTCCATTTTCAAGGAAATTTCCTTTTCTAAAGAAATTCTAGTGTCGAAAAGGAAAATCTAAGGAAGAGAAAAAATCTAAGGAAATCTAAGGATTTTTTCCCAACAACTTAAATATTCATCCAAGTGCATTAGTGCAGAAGAATGTTTCGCTATTTCTTGAATTTTTGAGTGAATTATCAATTATGTTCAATTAAAAATCTGGTTTTAACTTTTTCCTCGTGTTTCCGAAAACTTCCGAAAGTTTTCGAGCGACAGGATTTGGTATCTTTTGGCGCCAAACGCTGTGAATTAATTATTTATATCAATGGAAAGGTATATGTTGTAAACTCACTGAACAAATATTTAATTTTAAACAGTATAATAGCCTGTGGTTTTTTAGCTAGCAATTATCTTTGTTAATTGTGCTATTTTGTGCCTTTACAATTGATTAAATCCTTTGTATTGCTACAAAAGCACTGCAAAGGTCTTCAAACCGCCTAATAAAATTTCAAGGAATTTTCAAGGAAATAACGTATACAATCTAAGGAATTTAGAGAAATTTTGATGACAAAAATGAGAAATTTTGATTTTGAAAATGGAAGCACTGTTTGACAGACAAAGGTCAGAAAGCATGCATCATTTGACAGTTATCATGCCTTGAAGATGTTCGAAATGTTCGTAAAAACTAAAATATTTATACCGTTTTTACACAACTACACAATCAGTATTTTACCATTAAGGTAAGGCACATGTTTTTGTACCAGAAAAGCAATTATTTGTTGTTTTTTTAGCGTTTTATCAACGTCTTAATGCACTTTTCAATGTACTCTTTTAGTTTGTTTTTGAGTTGTTTGGATAGCAAAAAAACAACTCTGTGGTTTGCTGAAAGCGCTGTTTGGGCATTGTAATTGTTTTCTGGAGTGGAGAATTTGTATTAACGATGTGTTCTGATGATTGATGTGGCGAAATGAAAAGTTTTTGACGGCGGGAGTTTAGAAGGTTGGAACTATAAAACTATTTGCTGTCCTACTTAGCCTAAATATCAAATTTTGCTCATCACTCCATCAGTCATTCAGCAGGTAAGTACAACAAAGTTTTTACAACCAACATTCATGTTAAATTGTTTTCAGTATGTTTACTACGTTATATAAGCTTACCAAACAAAAAGCTCGTTTGCACTGCAAAAGCTATCACCAACGGCACTGGTTTCCATAAGAACTCGGCAACTTGAATCTTTCTGAGAGAAGGCAAATTGATAAGTCATCGTATTGTTTTGTTTTGTTTGGCAACTTAGCTCATAGGCATTTCATTTAACGGGACGAAAAATAACTCAGATACGAAATATTTTGTAAACTAGGAAACATTGAAACTAACTTAAAGTTAATGTAACGAGCTCAACATCTTTCACATGCTTTCCTGAGCTATAGCCTATATAGCTGGTCTTCAACGACGGTTCTTTTGACTATCTGGTCTATATTTCAATACATTTCATTAGTATCAATTTTTTCCTCACTTTGTGTGTGTAAAGTATTATAGCGAGACGAAAAATGCTTTTGACAATTTATAAATTTTAAAGCGAGTTTGCGAAAAATGTTGCAAGACTGAGAAACATGAAAATAAATTGCCTTTATACCGAGCTAAAAATGTTCACATGTTTTCCTGAGCTATTATAGATGGTCTTCAAAATATATTATTTTGTTTTGTTTGGCAACTTATAGTTCATAGGCATTTAATTTAAGCGGGACGAAACATGACTCAGCTGCGAAAAATTTCGCAAAGGGAAACATTGAAACTAACATAAGGTAACTTTAATACCGAGCTAAAAATCTTTCACAATGCTTTCCTAAGCTATATAGCTGGTCTTCAACGACGGTTCTTTTGACTATCTGGTCTATATTTCAATACATTTATTTCATTAGCATAGATTTTTTCCTCATTTTGTGTGTATAAGGTATTATAGCGGAACGAAAAATACTTTTTACAATTTATAAATTTTAAAGTGAGTTTGCGAAAAATGTTGCAAGACTGAAAAACATTAAAAATAAATTGACTTACCGAGCTAAAAATCTTTCACATGTTTTCCTTAGCTATAGCTGGTCTTCAACGACGACTTTTTTGGCTATCTGCATGGTTTATATTTCAATACATTTATTTTATTAGTATGTATTTTTTTCTCATTTTGTATGTATAAAGTTTAATATATAACGTGACGAAAAACACTTTTAATTTATAAAATGAGCTGGCGAAAAATTTCGCAAAACAAAAATATTGAAACTCACTTACCTAGCGATAATTTTCTGCGCAAAAGTTTTGCTTTTCGTATTTTTTTCCTCGCTTGTATTTCTCTAAAAACTCTTTTAGGTATCTGTCTATAAATATTTCTCGTTCGCCCCCCCTGATGTTAAAAACTACGAGAAAGTTTGTTTATTTTTTTAACCAATAGGATTGCATTTTCAATAGCGTCATACCCGTTACAAGTATCCCGCATCTGGACAAAAACATTTCGGCTAAAAACTCGGAAACTTTTGCTCCTTACTCGTTTGTCGGTAACATTTATAAACATTTTAGTTTGGGTTAATGTAGAGTAGTTATCAGTTTTCAAAGTTCCTGCAGTTTTTTTGTTGTTTTACATGTAAAAAGTCGCGTATTTTGATGTTCTCGCGATGTGTGTGTCTTTCCAGTCAATTAGCTTGCCTACCTTGGTAATATATATATACGGTGAATCATCATGATGACAATGCCCACGCGATCGTCACGCGACCGTGATAATTTCCACGCGCGAGTGTTAAAGCTATTTCACTTTCAGAAACTAGAATAAAATCAACACACATATCTGGGCTGCCTATGTTTCAACTTTTCAATTTTTGTCAGCCTCGCTTTGAAAATACACAACTGCACTGATCTCAAATTAGTTCGCAAGCAACACTGGAATTCTAATGAATTTAACTTTTACATCTGATAAAAAATAAACACGTTATTTACCGGCAGCGTCGGTCCGGATGTTTTCTCATCCGGACCTCGCAGCCGGTAAATAACATATATATATTTTCATAGTTCGGTTGTCAAGTAGGATTGAAATAGCCAATAAAAATTTTCGTTGCCAATGTCCTTTAAGACAAGAACAGTTCTTGTTCAAGGACAGCATACATCAAAGACAAAGGATCAGGTTTACAGGCTGCGTATACAATTTTCGTGAAGTTTGAGTTTCAAGGATAGTCCATGCAAAGATCTAAGCACGATGTTTTCCGGCGGAATTGAAAAAGACCAACATATCCTTTATTTAGTGATGATTGAATTAATTAAACAACGACATAATCCATCCCATATATATTGGCAATGACATTCAACTTGCTTTCAATATTCGACAAATATATCCCAAAGACTTCGTGCGCTAATATTCCGCTGCCTAATCCTTGTGTAAACCGTGCTTGGCTTTCTATTTGCCTTAATTTACACATTCAACTAACCCGATTCCAACAGTAAGGTCGCAGCGCTCGGAACATTCATTCTCATTGGCTGATCGTTTACCCCCTGTAGCCAATCATAGTGTCACATATCATCAGACCAAGATCAGACCAAACGTCTGAGACCAAACCAGGATTCACATTTATCTTTCCTTCTCACTTGTATTCAATAAGAACAAACTACTGCGCAAAAAATAAGAACAAAAAAAGCCTTTGCGGAGGACGTAAGACTTTAAGACAAGAATCTAGAGATATTCACTAATATTTTACACATGCAGCGAATATTGCATGGTTCTCATTGCTTCCTGGCTCTGTGTGTGCATGATTTTAACTGTAGATTTACCATATTGAAAACGTTAACCATCGGTGTATATAGTGTGCATTTTAAGTTACTGAGCGTTGATATATTATGAGACTGAGAGACATACTAGTGAAAAAATTCATGAGTGTAGTGTATATACGAGTGAGTCTTTTAGGCCCCAGACACGACACCGGATTCCCATCGTAGCGGCATCAACTTAAGACGCTTCGCAGTCTTTTCTTATATTATCATGCTGAACTCACCTTTAAACAGTCAAATTTGATGCCGATACGAATCGGGTATCGTGTATAAAACTGGGGCCTTATAAGTTATAAAATAAAATAAAAGACTGGCAAATTATGTGGTTGTGCTAGGTTTCAAATGTCATTGCTTCCTGGCTGTGTGCATGACTGTATGATTTTTAATGTAGATTTTCCATACACTCGCAGACTGTTTTTCAATACGCAAACCCACATTTGTATGAGACATAATATTCATGAGTGTATAGTATTTTAACATACAGACTTTAAGACTTGATATTTTACACATGATAAACTTGCATATCATGACATAAATTATAGATCATACGATGATGATGTTGGTTGTGCTAGGTTTCAGATGTCACTGTTTCCTGTCTGTGTATCTGATTTTTACTGTAGAGTGTATAGATTTTCGGATTTTCCATATTCAAAAACACTTGATAGTTGATACGAGTATTTGATGTTCAATTACTATTATTTATTTCACTTTATATATTTCCCTCACTGTACGTCCGTGTGTTGTGACCACTGATCTAATAGTAGATTGTGACCTCGAAAAGTCCCTAGAAAACGATTTTCATTTAGCATGTCTTAGATCTGAAATATTTTTGCGGGAACTAACACTTTCGAAAAGGGACGCCGGAACTGGGGGGGGGGGCAGGAGGGGCAGCCGCCCCCGTTGCCCTTTACCAGGAGGGGCAAGGGGGGCAAAGGTGCCGTTACAATTTAAAGGATTGCCTTGGCGAAATAGCAAATTGTCAGAAATGTTAGTGTGATTCTTTTACGAATTTGCTTCAGAATGAACGCAAGAAATGCAGTCATCGAGCTTCAAGAATAGCACAATCGCCTGGCGGAGAACCCCCTCACACCCCTATCATCCAATAAATAGAAAACATGATTAGGCGAAGTTCAACTCCCGATGTTTTGCAAACATCTCTTAGTATATATAAATTCAAAAGTGCCCTTTCACGAAAATCTGCCCCCCTTGCCTTCACATCGTTCCGGCGTCCCTGCTTTCGAACACGCTGAGTTCAAATCCGAAAAATTCCCGCTCCGTAGACCCGCAGTTTTCTCACAAACTGCCACTTTATCTCAGTTTCACAAATTTTTTCATTGTTCAACGACACGGATCGATGACGATGCACGATTATGTCACCAACTTCTATTAAACCAGTTTCCTTTTAACAAAAGACTGCCGTTTTGCTCGAATTATTTTGAGTTATGAGTTATTTTGAGTCAAGCATGTGCTTCTCAAAAAACTACCGACCTGCTGTTTCTTTCACCTCACTAGCGCCAGATGAAATATATTATATTATATTGTAAACTTTATTGGACAGTAAAACAAGATATACCAAACGGCACGAGTGCAAACGGGACTCGAAGTTCCATGCGAGGCACTCTGGTCTCTACCTTTTTACAAATTAATTAAATTACAAAAATTATTGTTGCGATTACTATACTACAACTAAAATAAACAAATGCCAATTGTTTGAAGCTCAGACATATTAATGTGTTGGTTTAATAAAGTGATTAAAATACTATATAAAAAACCCAGCCAATACTGCGTTATACACTTATACCTAGAATATCAGAAAACAATTACAGAAATACTCAAGCAACAAGCATATGCTTACTTTAGAAACTATTAGTTAAATTATTGGGATCTATGACACGAACAACTACGACATAAAGACCAGGTACATGGCATATCTACATTATAACTATTTTCTAATAACTGTACGTATGTAGTCTTGACAAAAAAGATTTAAACATAGTTAGACTGCGAAGGTCTGCAGGACAAGCTATTTTACACACACGATTCCAGAGAGGGACAATACGGTTAAAGAAGGACGACTGGAAAGCACTTGTTTTACAAGACGGAACTTTAAGTACAAGAGAAGGATTTTCACAGTTACGAGTACGAATATGACTAACAAACGACACAAAATTAGAAATATTTAAATCGTAAAATCCATTTAGCAACTTAAAGAAAAACGTCAAATCCTTGATCTCTCTGTCGTATGTCAACGGGAGAAGATTTAACATCTGCAATCGATCCTTATATGTTAGGTCCTGCGTTTGGAGGATCCATCTTGTGGCGCGCCTTTGCACTCTCTCCAACAGCGTTTTGTTGTTATACTGAGACTGTGACCAGACTTCTGCAGCGTAACATAGCTGGGATTTTACTAGGGAAAGATTCAATACGCGCCGAACATTGCAAACTGTTAGGAGGGGACATGTTCTTCGTAGTAGACCCAGCATTTTATTGGCCTTGCTAACAATCCGCGATATATGCGTGTTCCAACAGAGGTTACTTGTCAAAGTGATCCCGAGATCAACTTCACTTGTCCCCGCGTTTCAAACCTGCAGAACCAAGATGATAATTGGCGATGAGGGGCCTTCTACGACGGGAGATTGTCATTATTTTGCACTTAGAGGCGTTGAATGTGATGAATCAACGCTCCAAACTCCAGCGCACGACAAGGCGGTCTGTATAGGCAAGCACTATCCTCGTTAGACGTTATAGCCCTGTATAGCTTCACGTCGTCAGCGTACAGTCCTGTTGATGTTGCTTGAGGGATTGCGTCAGGGAGATCATTAATGAACAGAAGGAAAAGCATGGGACCTAAAATGCTTCCTTGTGGGACGCCAGAGGTTACTGGGGACCATTCCGAAGCTACGCCTTCGACAACAACACGCTGTGTACGCCCACATAGGTAGCTACTGAACCAGTCGTAAAGGTTTCCCGATATTCCATACATTCTTAGTTTATTAGGAGAGAAACATTTTAGATTGGCTCTAGGGGGGAAATTATCAACAGGTTGTTGTTGTCCATCATTCAGCGTAGTCGGAGTCTTGAACACGTTCATGTAGTGGCCTGCAGGGTTTCCTGGATCAGGGTAATGTGCTGGAACCTTACAGAATGTCGCCCCCACCCAACGTATCTCCCGGCATCTGTTGCAAATGTCTTTGTATGCTTGTCAAAAATGCATGCAAAAGTGCCAGTATTCTTCAATTTCTTTAATTTTCTTCCCGTTTGTACTAAATATCCCATAAACATAGAACATATCATTCTTACAAATCGTATGCTTTTTTGTTTTTGGAACTGCTACTTTTTGGCAGGTAAATTACTTCACAAACCTGGCGCCAAAAAATTTAAAATAAGCTATAGATGATTTCATGTATCCATTTAGAAGAGCAGACTAAGGATATCTTAAAACTGAAATCGGTTTCGAATACAACCATCAGGGACGTAGCAAAGCATCTGACATTTTTGAAGCTCTAGGACTGAATTTTCTGGCGTTTTCTAAAGCAAATTCGCAAATAAATTGCATGTAAATTGACTGTATTTTACAAAAATGGTTATCATTTCACAAAAATAATTACTTTATTAAGCAAATTTTACCTGAAAATGTCAAAATTTTAACTTGAATTTGCTGGGGCCAAAACTTTGAAAAGTTTAGAGCCCCCCCCTTCAGTATATCGAGAACTTTCAGAGCCCCCCTTTAATGCCAGAAAATATTTCGGTGCCCCCTTCAACATCTTCACCCCTCGGCATAATAAATGTACTTTCCCTAACAATGGCACAATGCTTTTTTTCGCAGTGGAGCTGACACACGCTGCTAGCTTCCAGCGATGACTCATTGTCACATTGCGAGATGGAAAAATCGAAAAAAAGTACAAACATTTCAGATAATTTCTTTACTCTTGAAACAGTCTGCCGACATGGAAGTGATTGCAAGCAACAAAGGAGCAGCGGAAGTTTGCTATGGAGGATTCATGTATACAAAACAGATTACCAAAAAAGCAGACACTGTTCCGCAAAGGTTCGTTAAAAACTTCGCTTGACTTGACAGATCCAAAAGATCTGGTAGGACACAACCATTTACCTGATGTGACTGAAGTTTCTTTGGCAAAAGCAAGAAACACAACAGGGGCGTGCTGGCCAGGGTCGAGAGAACGAGAACTTGTTGTGGGCCCTTGCCATCCTGGGCCCCTAAAATAAAACATTCAAATTTTTTCAAACATTGAGATTTTACTTTTCAAAATCAAGATTAAGATATTGCAGTTTACATTGTAAAAATGAGAATTCGCGAAAATATTACGGAAGAATTTTCGTATGTGGGACCGAAAAGTTACGATATGCCCGGAAAAATTTAGTATTTACGGAAAATTGATGAAATGCCCAGAAAAATTTTTGCATTCCAGGAAAAAGTACGATATGTGCAGGAATATTTTAGTATATCGGGAAAAAATTGGCGAACTCGCCCCCCCCCCCTCGTCAACAATTTTTGGAAAAAATATTAATATTGAGCCATCGTTCACTGGGCCCTATCATACGTTGCTCATTCGTTGTCTTTTCTGAGACGCCAGCACGTCCCTGAAACACAATGAAAGATATGGCGACATCTTCCCTGAGCAAGCCAAACCAAGTGTTTTCACAAGTGGTTGCAAGGCTGAACAACGACACTCGGACTGTGCTACCAAATCCTGACACAATAAAGCGCACCCTTAGAAACCATCGCCGCCTCAACTTTCCAGTGCCGTAGCCAGAACGATAATTGGGGGGGGCGGCAAATATTCATATATTCGTGTTCACATACCATAAAAACAATTGATTTCAAAGGAAATTAATAAAGCAGAACACGAATATATGAATATGTGTCCCCCCCCCCCCAATTATCGTTCTGGGTACGGCACTGCAACTTTCCTCCTGATCCAACCTCTTTGGATGATCTCGTGGTAGATGGTTCTTGGGCAGAAACTGCAGGGGACAACCCAGATGATTGACAACGGTCCACATACTCAAAATAGAATGCTCATCTTCTCCTCGAGACAGTGTCTCGAAAAGCTGTCATCTGCAGAAACGTGGCCAATGGATGGCAACTTTTCAATGGCGCCACCTCCGTTCCAGCAGCTGTATGTCATTCGTGTTCCTCTTGGCGAAACCGCCATTTCTGTGGTCTACGCGTTGCTAACTAGCAAAAGCCAACAAACATACGAGGAACTGTTTCGGGTGTTATTAGAATGCAATTGTCGTGGGTGGGAAGCCCTTCGTTCTATACTTTATGCTGAGGTAAGAATTCAGTACCGTTTTTATCACATCACCTTTTACCGTGATGATCAAAATTTCGGTTGTATTGTGGAATGCTAGATGGTCTTGCGCTTCTACCTGTTGCAGACATTGGAAAAGGAATGGAGTTCTTCCGAGAGAATTTTCCTGAGTAAGGCGAGGAACTGATTGATTATTTTGATGTGAACTACGTTAGAGGAACATACAGGCGCATTCAACGACCAAATCGACCACTTCGCTTTCGTCATATTCCACACAGGTTCACACGGCCTCTCTGGAATGTTCACGATGTCACAGTTCAAGGTGATGCTTGGACAAACAATCGGTGGGAAGGATGGAACAACAAGTTTTCCATTTAGTGGGTCACAACCACCCCTCAATTTGGAGATTGATTGACTGCTTGAAGAAGGAAGATGCTACAGCGTCAACTTTAATGATGCAAGATGAACTTGGAAATCCACCAAAGAAGAAGACAAAGCGCATTTACTTCCAACTGCAACAACGCCTTAGAAACTTATGTATCCAGTATGGCGAGGGAATAAGGTCGTTGGAAGAGTTCTTGAGAGGTTTTAGTTATTGACTATACAGTATATGGCTGATATTTGAACAATAAGATCGATTATCGAACTAATATGTTACATTATACTAGATTGTTTTGATAATGCGTGATACTTTATACTTTTTTAACGATTCAACTTGTGGAACAATTCGATTTCAAAATAAATTTTTAATACGTAATTGTAGGGCATATTCTAAAACTAAGTAAACTTTTCAGTGTATTGTAATAGTATAATTAATAGTGATAATCGACTGAACGTTAAATTTAAAAGTGATAATCGACTGAACGTTTTCTTATGCATGGACAGACAGGACAGTATCCTTTTGTGTACATTTATTGGGCTCATGATTTTTGGGCTCATGATTTTCTCCAGTGATTTTCAATATTTTGAGAATTTCATAAACTAGCGTTATATTTCTTAGCACGCTCAAATTATTTAACGGTTAAGTGTTACAGTAACAACTGCTACCATTGCTACCACCGCTACCACTGCTACCATTGCTACCACTGCTACCACTGCTACCACTGCTACCATTGCTACCATTGCTACTACTGCTACCATTGCTACTACTGCTACCATTGCTACCACTGCTACCATTGCTACTACTGCTACTACTGCTACCATTGCTACCATTGCTACTACTGCTACCATTGCTACTGCTGCTACCATTGCTACCACTGCTACCACTGCTACCATTGCTACCATTGCTACCATTGCTACTACTGCTACCACTACTGCTACCATTGCTACTACTGCTACCATTGCTATCACTGCTACCACTGCTACCATTGCTACCATTGCTATCACTGCTACTACTGCTACTACTGCTACCACTCTATCGGTTCATAGCATATCAAAATATAAGATCAAAATCCCTATACTGTGATCAAAATGCATGCAAAGCCAATGAGAATGCTTCTTCTGAGCACTGCGAGCTGACTCTATTTATTACTACTAGTGTGATTTGAGGGTGAGTTAAAATCGTTTGGTAGGTAATAATCGCATGTTAAACTATCAAAAATTTTCAGACATATAGCTCTCATAATTTGGACAGTTTGAAATTCTGTAGTTGGTATCAAAAGGGTTAAATTTGAGTTGTGTTAGTCTATCCATATCCTCATCGCTAGGAATTAGATTGAAATCACCAAGAATAAAATTCAATTCTAAATCGTCAATTGAGTAAAAGGGAAGCGCGCAACTTAAACACATGTTGCAGACATTTTCCGTTTGTTGACATGCAAGAGGTTTTTTACTGTAGTTTCAGTAGTTGTTGCACAGAGCCAAAAGAAGTCTAAAGCAGCACCAAAATGCAGGGTATGTGAACAACCCATGAAAGGACACAAGTTTGTTACAGACTGTCCAAGGAATGAAAGGAGCACATCATAGTGTATTATATGGATAAGGCATTTGAGGAAGGAGGGCATATTAGGAGGTGGTTTTTTTTCAGAAGGGCATATTAGGATTATTCAGGAGGTTGGGGCTTTATAATAGAGATTGGGGCTTATATTACAGCAGGACCAGGGTGGAAAGTTTGTTTTTTGTGCACCGAAGATTTGATCAAGGTTCAGTAACATACACCAGTGGCTGCACAAATCCTGTTTTAAATATGCGCCACCGAGTGGCAACTTTTAGAGTGAGACAGCACAGATACTATAAACATTTGAAATACAGTTGTAATATGCATAAGTAAATAATTTTTTGTACGCCATTGTGCCACACCAGTTCATTTTCCCATAATTCTGCGCCAAAATGGAGCACATTTATGAATTTTCTACGCCGAAGATCTTCGGCGCAACCTACAAACTTTCCACCCTGGCAGCAGGAAGGGTCTTAGCAGAGGGGAAATATTTGGAAGGGTGGTGCTTATTAAGGATGGAGCTTACTAGGAAGGGTGGTGTTTATTAGGAGAGGACTCAATATACAGTAGGTACTTTATAAGGAGGGTAGTGCTTATTAGGGGGGAGGGTGTTTATTGGGAGGGTGCTTAATAGGGGTGGAGCTTAACAGGGAGGGGGCTTAATAGGGAGAGTGCTTTATAGGCAGGGTGGTGATATTTGTTAAATAAATTATATGCGCTACTTAATTGTATCAAATTTGCTCTACTTTACTTGTTTTCTATCCCTGATGAGCACTAGTCAAAACTGATTTATGTTGATACCAAATAAAATGTTCCACATAGGTTTCATTAGAGTATAATATTTAAATAGTACAGTAAAACCCTGCTTTACAAAAGAACCAGTTCAGACTAGAATTCCAAAACAGCTTCTTATTTTATCGAAGAAGCAAAAAGTTAAACATCAATTGAAGAAAATAAGCTCTTTTATAAAGTAATGGGATTTTGAAGATAATTTGTGCATAATGATACAAATTATATACTGTAGCTAAAATAGGTCGCTTTTTTGTAAACATCTACGGTAGGTTCTTATACGATGGGTTTTACAGTATGTTAGCTTAGTCATTAATTTATTCAAATATTTTATCCTCCATTTCAAATCTGGTAAATGATTCATCTTTTGTGAGAGGGAATTTCTTCCTTATTGCATGGTATGCACATGCAGCAGTGGGATTCTTGTTTTACCAATTACACCATACACCATCCTTGTAAACTTTCTGTATGCCACACTATGTAAAAACCTAGAAGAAATGAACAAATTTATCATAAGTAATGGGGTATGTAGACAAATGCAAAAACTATTTCAATAAAATAGTATTTTATATTACAAAGAACAACCCAAACTATAATAGGTATATATAGAAACTATACATACATATAGTTCCTAATTTTGGTTACACAAACATTTTTGAGATGTTGATTCTTATGGGAGACACTGGTCATGGACCAGTGTGTACCCCCATAAATACATCCCTGAAAGAGGATAAAGCCCTATATGTTGAACAATCTGTTTAGTCTTTACATTTTTACACAAATTTCAGAAACAATAGACCTTACCATTTATTCACTTTTGACCCAATGGCCTCATTTCCATGTTTGCTTATTTTAGCATGGCAGGCGCACATGAAGGTTAAATCTTCATGTTTCCTGCACAAGTTTGTCTGTTGTTGATCTTACGTCCAATCACAAGCTTATTCTTTACTCTGTTATGCACAAAACATGAGTTTTAATATCACATCAAAACGAGACCATTTTAGTGTGGTACGACATGTCATTAAATCGACTCCCGTAGGATTTACGTGCTAACATTGATTTTTTTGCGTTTATGTGTTGAATACTCCTGTAGGATTTACGTGCTAACATTGATTTTTTTGCGTTTATGTGTTGAATTTGCATCTTACTATCGGAAAATGATAGGGTTCAAATTTTCTGGCTCTTCGTCCCTCCGCAGTGATCTGAGTTTCACTGCGTCTCTCCTGTATGATTTTTGCGCTTGCTCTCCGCTAGTTTTTAATGCTGAGTTTTTAATGATGCAAAGTACATTTTGATCCTTGCAATGTGATGTGGAGTGTATTACGGAGTATAAAAAATTATAATGAAAATATGGCGCTTTTATTTAACACAAAATCTGAAGAACTGACATCTATATATTATGCACTTACATGATCTCAACACGTATATGAACAAAAATGTTTCCAACTAGTCGATTTATAACTGGGATACTGAACTTACATGACGAGTTGTTCATCGTTGTAATCCTCTTGTCCGTTAACCTCATCCTCTAGTCCATCATCCTTTATGACATTTGTACAATCACCGACATAGCATTTACAAAGAGGAGTGCAAGGAAGACCATTCTTGAAACAACTGCACCTTCCTTTACATTCTGTTTTGCACAAACATTTAGTTAGTTCAATCACAGCTTGAGGTGCGGGAGGTGTGAGACACCTCGCTGGAACGTAAACTCCTTCGTCTAAACTCCACCCTTTTTCTTCAATAGGTGGAAGAGATGGACAATTGAGAGGGTATGATTTATCACGCATAGATATGTAGTTTGCGTGTACAATGTGAGGTAATAACGCACCCCGAGTAGGTGGTAACATCTCTCCCTCCAAATTTTTGGAACGAAAGTGTCCACCGTAGCGCTGGTAAAGTTTTGGGACCTTTCGAGCAGTATACACGGCATACGAACTGCTCCAAATCCTTAACCTGTGCTGGAAGTTCATCGTCAACTAATTCAGTCGGGATAGGACCTTCACCAAGTTCCCGAAAGCAGTTGATGGAAGGATCATCTTCATCAAGTTCCATGTAGGCACCAACCCAGGTCTTCTTGGTAATACCCACAAATTTTCCACCCCAGTCAGCACCAGAGAAATTGTGGAGTCCAATAAGCCCTTGGCATTTATGACTTCCAATATCTCATACTCGTTCAATCACATTGATTTCTCTGTACTTTGTGCCTTTGCCAGTTAGAAACTTAAGGCGACCATGGGAGACCAGGTCGATAAGAAGTACGAGGACGTCTGTGTCTGGTGACCAAACACATATTTCTCAGCAATGACTGTCAGCCATAGTAGCTAGGACTTGGTGCGGAATTAATGTATCTGCTTCTTCGTGTGAATGGTATTCTTCAAAATATTGGCCTTTGATCTTAGTACCATACACCACAACTAATTTGCATGCACTGTTATTGGAAAAGTGTTCTAGCAAGCCCTGAGCAAACATAGATGTCACGCTACTCTTGGTCTTTGACGAAGACAGAATCTCCTTCAGAGACATGGTGAGCTTCATCTCTGGATATATCTCAAATTCTATTGGCGTTGTTGCTCTCTTCTGACGGGTCTTGTTTTTCAGCAACTGATCCAGATAACGGTCAAAAACCACTCCACATTCATCGTAGCCAACAACCATCCCCTTGATAAACACTTCTTGAAGGTTAGAAAGATTCTTCATGGTCGGTGTTTTTTTCATACTCTGAACCACAGCCATGGTGTCAACAATTAGAACTCGGAGTAAGTAGCCGGTAACAGGCGCTACATCGAGAAAAGCTGCAGATTGAACTGGCGAGCGAGCTTCGACTGCTTCAACAGCGTGCATCAGACTGGCTTTGTTGGTTGGAATATAGAGAGAACCATCTACAGCACACAGCGAGCGTGGAACAACTGACATCTCATACTTTCCAGTAGTTTCCTCCAGTTTGGGAACCAGCTCCGGTTGGCTTCCTTGGATGATAAGACATCTGCCGAGCAATTCACATTCCTTGCGTAATTTGATCACCTTGTCACCAACGCGGACCTTGGTTTTTGCCATCCAATTCGAAAAGGTCTTTAGTTTGAATTTCTTCATTGAGTCCCAAACCGAGAGTTTTGATGTGGGCAGCAATCGTTCACGGACGAACTCTTCAAAGCGTTTCTGACCTTTCTCGCCAAAGTGCAGAATATTGTCTTTTGCATCTTCTGGCACAAGAACTGATGAAACCAAGCTCTTCAAAGGAGATATTTCTTTAAACGGGTTCCCTGTGCAATGCAATTCGATGGAGTGACGAAGCTTTAGAGCGTTTTCTCTTGACCGTATAGAAACACATCCGGAAAGCTGGTAGTGTTCATTACGATGAGAAGAACTGGATACTTTAGGAAAACTGTTGAGGTACTGCTTTACAATTCGAGCAAGATGAGGTGTGGTGGTGACTAGTCGGTCCAAACCAGTTTCATCTTGACTTAATCCAACCATTGCGCCATGACGCTTTAATTCTTTGATCTTTTGTTCCAGGGTCTGGTCGGTGAAAAGGCAGGTGAAGGGGACCTCGGATTTTGCAACAACAAACTCTCCTGCCTTTAACGCTTCCCATGTCACTGGATCGTCCTGCTCCAGAGCGTTCATCTGTGCAAGATGGACAGGCATAAGGCGAGCATAGTTTAGGAGATTGTGGGCGAAGAATTACTTGATGACATTTTCTAACACAGCCAAGTAACCTTCCCAATCACCTGAGCGGCAAGCATTGATAATGTGTAAGAGACTGTTCACCTGCTCAAGGTACTGCATGAGAAACTGAGCAAAATCTCCGTTGTCTTCTTTATCTTCATGTGGTTTTATATTTGCTGAGTACCATGACTGTATGTTGTCGTAGATCTCTATCATTTCTGGACTGCGTTCGTGGAGAGCTGTCTTGAACACACCACATTGGACACAGAGATTTTCAGTTAGATGGTGCCGAAAAAATTGTGTCAAACCTCATCATCATGATTGCCAAGCTGGTTGTAATGTGGTACTCAACACTTCGTTTGTATGCCTTGCCACGGTATATCCCATGAAGAGCTGCAGATGTGTATATGCCACATTTGATAGCACAGGTGTCGATGCCACTACCGTAGATCGTTTTACCAAGGGCATGTAGTGCAGCGAACACAATGTGAAGAATGCCTGCTCGAAGGATCCAGTTAGTGTTACCCACTGTCTGCTGAATCTGGAGGGCACGGTTGTAAAGGTCTAGGTCAAGTGTTATCAGAGTTTTTCTCTCAGGACCAACCCAAGCAGATATTCCCTGTGTCAACATCAGTACGGTGTGCAGGGTTGTATAATCTGTGGGAGAGGTCTTGAAAAGTGGAGAAATTACTTCTGAATTGGTCACGACACATTTTGGGGAGGTATGTGATAGCAGCAGAGATTTAGTAGCAGCCCAAGTTGGCATAACTTCCTTTGCTAACTTCTTGCTCTTACGGATTGGCTCCTTCACAGAGAGAATAGAGTCACTTAAATTTCTTGCCGTTTCCCTATCGACTTCACCTTCTTGATCTTCAATTATCTGCTGTTCCTCTTCATTCACCTGTTCCTCTTCATTCTCCACATGTCGGCTCTCCGGGGTTTCATCGTCGTCGTCATCAGTACCAAAATAGTTAGCAAGCGCCCAAGTGTGATGGAAGTCATTAGAAATTAGATTCTTTCACTTACCAAACAAGCAGACATCATATGCTTAGTTTTGATTATTTGCTCTTGCAGATAATTGATGTGAAACACTGGTGCCGGTGAGAGGAGCTTGTCTGGGAGAACAAGCGGTGGGTTGACAGGTTCTCCATCTTCTGCCTGCTGATTGAGTACGATCACTGTGCCGTGGAACGTATTCTGGCCAGTTGGCGTGTCTTCCAAGAGATCAATGTTATCTACTGCGAACCAGATGTTAACTCCTTTCTTGACAAAATCCACCAGTCTCTTTCATCCGCTGCAGAACGCTTTGCTCAACATGCTTTTCGAGTTCGAGTATCTTCTTGTAGTCACTCCCAATGTACACCTCTGATAGGTTGTCGATAAGGCTCTTGTCACGTACCCTAGAATGAATGACAAGAGGCAGTGTCGGTGTCTGAACAGTCTGCAGAAAACCGGAGTGAAAACCGGCGAGAGGGGTGTCTGAACAGTCTGCAGAAAACCAGAGCTTTTCTTTGGCCAATGTTTCACCTGGCGATCGCTTCGAGAATTCTGGATAAGAAACTGGCAAGCAACATCAACAGTTTTATCCATCTCTTCATTGCGAATTCCTGAAGCTTTGAGAACATGGCGACTAAAGAGGAGATGACTGAGAAAAAACAGAAGGAGTGGAGGGTTCTGGAATTCTTCAAAATTGCTGTTGAACGACCAATTTTTCTGTGTTGAATCATCTCTTTATGTAGAATGTCTGCTATGTTCTTCAAGCGACCAATCGTTTCGCTGTTATCCATTAGCGAGCACCGAAGTTCTATTCCTTTGCTAACTGCTCTTGGAAGAACGATCCTATCTGGCTCATTTTTGCACAGGGATTTAACAAACTGCACACTCGGAAGGCGTTCACTAAGTAGCTTTTTCAGATGCTTGCGGTAGTTTGCAGTCTCAGAAATCTGTACACGATACCTATTCAAAATTGATACGTATGTACTGTTAACCTCGGCCATACTTAGAATTGCATCATCATCGGTGAGACAGTTTTGAACAGATAAGCAACAGGCCGAGAACAGACACACCTCTGCCTTGGGGATGGTTTTTGTTTGTTTAGGCCGAGAACAGGTAGCTGCATTGGAAGGACGCCCAGGTCCTTGAACGGAATATGATGTGAGCCTTCTATAACACTCTTATTGACAATTGGTTTCCGACATTCACTATGGTAACATGCAGCTTTACGTTCCAATTCATTCAAGCTAGCTAAACGGTTTGACATCAGTTTGACCCAGGGACAGTCGCTCGTTACAACAATGATAAAGATCTTCAATCATGTTAGGATTATTTACGAGTCTTTTGCTTGAGGTATCCCCTTCATTACAAATTATACACACGCTGTCCGTCTTAGACATGGCTGCTCAACACTTTGTTACTCTTCGTCACATCTTAGAAATGAAACAGCACTAAATTATATATATTACAAAAATATTGTTATTATGTATCAATATCTTGATTACCTGCTATTGGCTGCTGAGATATTTTGTAGTTCAGCCTGTCTTTAATTATTCTGTTTAATTATGAGAAGTTACTTAATGGAAAAGATTGTTGCTTTTCAATTAAAAATGGTATGATTAAAAACTTACATTATTACATTGTTTCTAGAAAGAACAGTATTGAAACAGTTTTCGGCCATCGGGAGTTCTTTTTCGAAGTTTTTTTTTAACTAAGATAAAAAAAAATACAATTTGTTACAATTTTAGTTTACATTTATTCCATGTTTCTTTAGAAATGATAATGCAGTTCTAAAAGTAGCATAGGAACTCATGAATAATAGTGCATAGTATAATGTTGTCTTTACGTTTTATATTTCATTATTCATGCAAATATATTCATTAATAATTTTACAAATACCTTGTTAGGTCATGATGAAATACTTTAATAATTAACTCTGGGATCATTAAAGTATATTGTTACATATATTAAACGTTTGTTTACGATTCATGAAGTTGAAAATAAAACTAAAGGCAGGGACGCCGGAACGATAATAAGGCAAAGGGGGGCAGACGCACACCAAGGGCACCTCTATAGAGCAAAACTTCAAAATCAACCGGAAACCAACCCCCCCGGTCGCCAAAACAATTTTGGTCAGTGTACCATTTTAGGGGTCAAAAATTTTTTCTGGACACACCAACAGTCAAATATAAACTATAAATTGCCTGAATCTCATGATTTTCCTACAAAAAGCATCATTGGAAATGTGATTTATCACATAGTATTTCACAACTAAAAGGGCACTTCTGGCCCCCCCTGGCAGCCCCCCCCCTGCCCCCCCAGTTCTGGCGTCCCTGACTAAAGGGCACTCACCGTTTCTCTCAGAGGGTGGCAGCCATCTTGGAAATTACCAACTAAAACAGATCCCTCAGGATCATTTTACGAACAAAATGGAGCTATTCGTACATGAAATATCTAATACAAAGAGCTTGTCTTATGACAAAACTATTACTATCAAAAATCACTGCACTAATTGTTTTGGCATGCCTAAAAAACCCTTGCAAAATATAATATATATTCTATATACTATAACAGTGATAATAACAAGAGATTTAATATCGATCATTACTGAAGAGATTTAATATCGATCATTACTGAAAGTCGGTGATAACCAAACCAGATCTGTTGGAAAGTATCATAAATGCACTCGGTGTTCTTGAAAACCCCCAGAGTGACACTAGGATTGTGAAAATAGGTTACTTATTAACGGAAAAAAGGACGCAGAAGCACTTCAGGGGGGAGACTAAATTGGACACACAACAGGGAGGTAAGCACCAGGAAAATTTGAACCCCGTAATTTTCCTATAGTTGGTCCTCAAATCAATTCAAAACAGTAAAAAAAATGTTTAGCACGCAAGTCCTACGGGATTACATGCTGTACCACACTATTTGGTCAAAAGTAAATAAACGGTAAGGTCTATTGTGTTTCAATATAGGTAAACTCTCCCATTAATGTTTAGTAACATGAGCACACTATTGAGGCACAGTGCAGCTTCCAACATTCCTCTCAATGGTCTATCATTATCTAAGTGAAATATAAAGAAAAATGGTGTTCTGTCATTTTACTATGCCTAATACTGCTGATTAGGGAAAGTCCATGAACATATAGTTCCGCATGTTCCTTTGTCAAATAAAATTGCCTGGTGTTAGAGAGATTTGTAGGTAGGGTGCATAGCAGCTTATTATTAAATGGTTAAGTAGCAACATTCCAGCTCACAACAGCAATATTGCATTCTTGCCAATTACTCAAAAACTCCAGGCTACAATTTTCACATTTGTACCTAATATAAATTATGAAATATTGACAACATGAGTGGCCTTGCCATGCTATGAAATAATCTTTAACGTAAATATGTTTATTAAAATTGTATAGTATAGCATAGTATAAAGAAAATTTGCGACTTACCACTCACAAAGTTTTGCAATTTCATGCAAACACTTCAATATCACGTCTTTAATGATCTCGTTCGCCCTATGTTTTCTTCATATTGTTTTGTCCACTCCTCATCAGCGACAGGATCATCAACCCAAGCATAGGCATGATAAGGCATCGCTTGAAACCAGATATATCGGCTTCTAAGCCTTCTATCCCTGACATTTCATCATATTCAGATAAATAATTGTTCCCTGATGCGACCAAAAAAGCTTGGAAGATGCATCCGTCAAAGACATTGCAGAAAGATATAAAAAACTGCGAATTATTCTTCGAAATTAAAGCTTCTTTGTAATGGTAAAGTGTAGTGTTTACAAGAAGGCTTCGCATGAGTTCACCAATTGATGTCACACATTCCTCTCTCACCAGTCTCCCAAAACTCTGTTGTGGAACAAATGTGTGCAAACTTTGAGAAGCCATAGAATAGCAAGAATTCAACCGATTAAAAAAATTTTCCAGTTTTGTACTCCATAAATAGTGGTTATTTATTATATGAAAAAAATTTTGGGGGTTAGTTGCTTGGCAGAGGGGGCGGCAGCCCCCCCCCCCCCTGTTTGTTGGGTAAACAAAGGCAGTCGGGCAATATTTTGCTTCACAGTTGGGCAATATTGGCTTATTATAAAAATAAATGGGACAAATTCTGTCAATTTTGTGGGGAATTCTGTCAATTTTGTGGGAAATATGTTATTTAATAGGAATTTTTCATAATCACTCCCCCGTTGACAACAATTTTGGAAAGTTTCTCTGTTGTATTGTTTTATAAATATTCTAATTCTCCTTGATCTATACAACCAGAGGCTGGCAGGACCAGGCTGCAAGCTTCCTGTCTAATATCTAATTATCCATATAGTTTATGATTAAACAATAACATTTGTCGTATAATTATTGCAATTCTCAATTATGTGTAATTCGCTGTTTCCATTTATCAGCTCTTGATTGCAATCAAATGAAGGTTTGTGGAATCTCTGGGCATCACCACTATTGATGTCACTAACCATTTAATTTAATCAGAAAGCTCTCAAGGCTTAAATGTACATCTAAACATGTAATGCTAGCAAGTATAACTATTACCAAGGATACCTGAATGTATTATTATAAGACTGCATTTCCACCCAGTGCAGAGATAAAAAGACCTGAAATTTCCAGATCATTTCCATGGGAGCAAATGTATATAGTCCAAGCCATATTGAAAATAACTACTGTACTATAACTTAATAAATTTTTGTTGTGTTATAGGGGTCAAGGAAACACTAAAGAAAGAACAGTGGCTTTTCGTGCATGTTCTGGTCATCTTGGTTATATCCGATTCCTCTTGCCAATTAACTCTCCTGTGCTGGCTTTAACTACAACAAAAGCAGTACGGAAAAAACAATTAAAGCTCTTGCTATGAAATGTGATGTTCACATTTAATCGACCAAAACATTTATCTATATAAGTTAAATGTTATGTGTGATTTATCTTGCTTTAAATGGTTATTGGGTACTTTAATTGGTTACTTACCTTGCAGGCGACAGAAAGATTGTGGCCTCATATTTCGTCATTTCCTTTATGAACTTGGGGATAATGCACACTTACCCAACACAGATAAAAGATCCGATAATTGCTTGCTAGGTATGTACCATGCAAACACCTTGGATAAACACCGAGAACATGTTCTGAACGAACTATTGAAGGTAGATGGTCTGCAGGGTTGTTATTGCCACAACAGCACTTGGTATGGGTATCAACATCCCAAATATCAGATATGTCATTCACTATGGACCCCCTAGAGAAATTGATGATTTCTTGCAGGAGATTGAGTGAGGTGACAGAGATGGTAAAGAAGCAAATTCAGTTCTATTTTACAATGGGATGCAGCTTCGTAAGTGAAAAATCAATGAAAATTTATGCAAAAAGTAAGATGTGTATCTTAGACAAATCATCTTAGATCAATTTGACGAAACAAATGTACCAAATCAAGGGACCCAGAAGTGTTGTATTGTGTGCCATAAGCTGTGCAAATGTGGTGGTGAGGCATGCACAATCCCATTTTTTTACCTTTGAGTCATCCAAACCAATCAGTGCTGCTGTAAGTTCAACTGCAAAAGAAACAAATTGTGACTATTCAGGAGAAGGAGATACTTAAAGAACTGCTGACAGATTACCAAAAAAGATTGGCTAGTAAGTGTCCATCATTATTTATTATCAGAATCATCTACTGGTTTTACAAATTCTATTATTTCCTCAACTGTTAAGAAATGTAAATTGATATTTACTATCAGTGACATCATAGAGCATGTTCCAGTATATACAAAGTCACATGCAGTTGAAATTTTATTAACATTAAATGACATATTTCATGACATTGATATAAGCTCAGAAAAGCTAGATAATTACATGCCACAAACATTTTCTGAAGATGAAATTATGGATTATGACCTTGAATATGGTACAGACTACTATTCAGACAGCTCTTCTGATTCAGATGCATGAATCACCTCAGTGCTGTCAGGAATTGATGAGCTACATGTATGATAATTATAATGATCATTG